GTTTGTGTGTTGTTGGTTATGGTTTGTATCCTGTTAATGCTGTGAATTAGGGCCTCTAGCATTGATCCTATTTTTTCTTTTATGAACTTTATAGTTTTTGGCTTTATATTTAGGTCTTGATGCATTTTGAATTAGTTTTTGTATATGGTGTGAGGTATGGGTCCTGTTTCATTTTTTGCAGATGAACATCCAGTTTTGCCAGCACCATTTGTTAAAAAGACTGTCTTTTCCCTATCTGACGGACTTCGGGCCCGTGTCAAAGATTAGGTGATCGCAGGTGGATGGATTTACATCTGGGTTCTCAATTCTGTTCCATTGGTCGATGTATCTGTTGTTGTACCAGTAGCAGGCTGTTTTGACTACCGTAGCTGTCTAGTAGGTTCTGAGGTCAGGCAGTGTGAGTCCTCCTACCTTCTTCTTCTTCAATAGCGCTTTACGTATTCGTAACTTATCCTTTTAGTTATGTTTTAGCAGCAACCCTCAAGTCTTGCTACATAGTATTTTCAGTACCATTCAGCTGAAAATATATTCTAATTTTCAATATGATTTCTTCTTTAACCCATAAGTTATTTAGAAGCATATTTTAAAATTTCCAAGCACACAGGGGGTTCCTAGTTATCTTTTTATTGTTGGTTTGTCTCTCGGGGGTTTTGTAAGCTAGGGATATACACAGAGGAAAATAATGTAGTCAGAGTTCTGAAGCTGAGCCATGAAGGGGATAAATGAGTACTAAAGTGGTTAAGAGCTATGGCTGCTAACCAAAGGGTCGGCAGTTTGAAGCCACCAGATGCTCCTTGGAAACCCTATAGGGCAGTTCTACTTTGTCCTTTAGGGTCCCTGAGTCAGAATCGACTTGACAGCAACGGGTGTGGTTTTGGTTTTTATCTTCTTCAAATCTTAAAGGGCAAAGATAGATGATCCTAACAAAGAGGGACAGGAATGGAGAGGGGAGAGGTAAATCCAGAAGAACTGACAGAGTGGTGGGAAAACAGATGAGGGTACTCCCACCCGAAGATATGTCTGGAGGCCAATCTGGCAGTTGTGATCCCTTGAGCCAGCAGTTATTCTTGAGGGAATAGATCTGAAATATTAGGAACGGTACAAATACTTAACTAGACTCAATCCTTAACTACAAGTATGTTCATCATAGCACTACTTATAATATTAAAACTTTGAAAAGGATCCTAGATGTCTAACACTAGTGAATTGGTAGAGTCACAGTGTATACACATACAATGGACTTTTAGGCAACCATTAAAAAGGGTATTTCAGAAATACAATCATTCATCTAGAAAGGGGATAAAAATATCAGTAATTTCAGTAAGAAAAGCATGCTAAAAAACTAAATACAATTCAATTCTTGAAAAAAAAAATTTAATGTAGAAGAAAGTTGGAAGTCATACCCCTAAATGGCTCTGGCTGGTTGCACCACGGGAGATTTTAATTTTCCTTTTGTTTTTCTGTGCTTTCTGATTTTTCTACAGTGCAGAACAATATGCAGGCGGAAAGGTATGCGAATTACAAGGGAAGAACAATCTAGAGCATTTGTCTTCCTTGGGATGACCGGGGCCTTTGTGGACCAAGTTGATGTACGTGACCTTAGTTCTCAGTGGCAGGGCGCTGAGCTCTCTCTCTGCCAGGTTGCTTGCTAACCTCACCATGGGCAAGAAGGCTCGGGGCGCAGGGTCTCAGGCTGCCTCCACTGCACTTTAAATCTACCCAACGTCAAGTGTTGCTTCCTCTGTGAAGCTCTCTCTCTCTTCCCAAAATATCTAAACCAGTGTTTTCTGTTCGTTTACCTATTTGTTTTTTCCTCCTTTGAAAAGGAAGTAAAAAAGAAGTAGAGCTTTCTTTGGGGCTTCGTAGAGAGAAGTCAAGAAAATATAAATGGTATCAGAGGCCGATAATCCTCAGAGACACCAAGTGCTCCCCTGTCTAGGTATTTACTTAACACATGATGTCTGTGCAAGCCAAAAGGTGTTAATCTCTTTCTTGAGAAGCTACCACCACTCTTTCCCTCTGT